GAAGACTAGTTGAAGTCCTTCATTTCTTCCATCCCTATATGCATAATTTTGATTGCTTATAAGGTTTAATGGAGTCATTACATGCCAATATAAACTGGCTGAAGGTATGTTCATGGAGTCATCCTGTGCCAATGCCAATAGGGGAAGATGAGGACGAGGTAGAGGGTAGGGGAGGCTATGGAAAATGGGCTTTTTGTTTGTCAAATGTAATTATATGTCAATGAGTTAGCTGAGCTTTAGAAGGTTTCTGTTCATTTAGAGCGTTACATCTTTTGTGAAACAAATAATGATGTAATTCCAACTTGTGAACCAAAATTTGCCTTCAACTGGAGGTTGTACTGATCAACTTATGGAATACTTCATCAAACGATACAATTTTATAACATGTCTTATCTGCCTTTGTGATTACGATATCTTCGTAGACAAGAGGCATTGAGGGGGTCATTTGTGAAGTATTTGAAAATATTATCGTGTTATACCTTGGCTTTAGCAAATGTGCATGCATTTGACTGATAAGTGCAGGGGAGCTAATGACCCTCAATGACTGTTTGTTTGGCATAGCTTATTCTTCAACTTGTTTATAAGCACTTTTTTCTCTCACAAGTCTAAAGAAGTATTGGAGGGAAACTCTACTTTTTAGCATTTGAAAAGCTTATAAGAAAGTATTGAAGAAATTAAAGTAAGTGAGGTGCTAATAAAAAACCCAAAACAACTCTGCCAAAGAAATGCTGTGAAAAAAGGGAGGCCAAAGAAATGAAGAATCTGAAATGTTCTCTAGATATTTTATGAGAACTTATCCTTTTTTGAATATAGAAATGCACGTAATTACCTTTTTCACTAATTAAAAGTATTTATATGCATATTTTTTTTCTAGAGAGTAAGCTTTTCAGCATCTTCATCCCCTGTTTTTTCTTTTTCTTCTTTTTCCCTTTTTGGTTCTTTGTCATTTATGCAGCAATGGCTTCTGATTTTCTGCCTCACTCTTTTTTCTTTTTCTTTTTTTGTTTTCTTTATTATAACAGGATCCTAAACGCAAGGTCCATAAACCTGTGAAAGGTGTTTTAAGACTGGAAATTGAGAAGCACCAGACATCTAATGCGGAGCCGGAAAATATTTCAGAAAGTGCCAGCATGACCAATGAATCTATGGACCTAGGGGATCAAGTTACTGATGCAATGTTCATTAAGAGCCCCAACAATGGTTCTGATGGGCCTCAGAGTAGCAATTCCAAGTGGATTCCTAATGA